ATTTTTCTTAGCGGAACTAGAAACAGGAGGAAAGGCAACAATTGAGAAATTAATCGGACAATACAGGTATTGATACAAAGTTAAATGAAAGAACGAAAACGTAGAGTCTTGAAACCAATTTCAAAATCGATCGAATCACCGATAGAGGTACGTTTAGTATTAACACTTTACCGACCGACAGCTATAGAGAACAGAACTATAGAGAATTTTATTTTTTATCGTTACGTCTCACTTCATCGCGATCGGTCTCGCGTCATTTGTTATTGCCGTGTCAATATTATTAATTATTTCGAATATTATCTAGAATATTTCGTTGACGAGATAGCAATCCAGAGTTATTCGAGATTGTTATTAAATTATTACTAAATTACCGTTACCGCGATCAATTTTACGATGTACTTCAGAATACTTTAGTTGAGAATAATAAATTTTTGATCTCCTTAAATTAAATATAACGACCATTAGAATGACAGAAAGATTACTGGTAATCTATTTACTTCTTCACTTAAAATAATAACTTCCTTTATATCTCACACCACTTTACTTTACCAAGTAAAACGATGGGATTCCAAATAGTACATTCAGCTACCAATTCAATAAATCTCCATGAATCATCGGGGATCTTTCGGAAAGTCGAATTTCATTTGCGACACAAATACTGTCGGAAGCTTCGACGACGAACGAAATTCAATTACACTCTACCGTTAACACTTTGACTGCCGCGTCACCCGATTTCGGGTGACACCATTGGTCAGGTAAACTTAAACATTCATTCTCTTGATGAGGTATCGAACAAATCGAATTTTGTTGGATGCATGGGACATACGTAAGATAGCAGAGCAATTATTCCGAAGATCCTTGACTCTTTAGTTTCTGCTTTATTAAGAAAACTATTTCCACTGCATAACAGTTTTAACAACCGTTTCCTTAACACGTTCCGTGCCGCGTGAGGCGTATACGACCTACGTTGAATTTTCCGTTCAGGCCGAAAATGAATTCTCATTGAAAAACGAAAAACTTTTTAAAAATTTATTGTAGAGTCAAAGATAGGTATTTTAATATTATGTATACTGCGGTTATTTAATTTTAATTGATTGTAAAAATGTGGGTCGTGTACGCCCCATACGGCCTGAAGGAAAAGTCTTAAAAAAATGGTCCGGCACGGAACGTGTTAACAGTCAAAGCGTTAATCCTTTGTCCTACGATTTCCTCCTTCCATCCTTCGTTACTAATAATTTATTGGAAGTAAAAGAAAATTCTGCTACGTCGACGTGTGCTCTAAGGTGTAATCATTGACAACAGAGAAATAATATGCAATTTCCATTCAAACAAATTCTATAATATTCATGTTTACTAAATTCCATTTGAAATCTTCACGAGTCTCGCGCGTTATTGCAGGGTTTAATCACATTTCAAGTTCCTCACAACCGATAAACTAGCATCGTTCCACCGCCACCACTCAATTCCCCGTAAACCAATCCCAAAAAAGAAGAATATCAAACACGGGAACGTCGCTGACAGCCGTCCGTGCTCGCGATTAACAGCCTCTCGTTCCAAGATTCTCGAACCGACACGAGCGACGGACACCGCGGATCCCCGTGCCGTCCGTTAATCCTGCGCCCAGGTATCGCTTCGATTATCGGGAGTGCAGCTCTTTGTACCGATAAAACGGCGCTCGTTTTAATTTTCCCATTTTTCCCCCTTTCTCCCACCACATCCCCTACTTTTTCCCTTTTTCGAGCGGCGGAGTATCGAGGTCGCGGCAGGCGCGCCGCTCGGTATTTTCATTTCCGGAGAGGTGTCGTTGACTAGCGGCGTAAAGATAATGCATCGATTCCATTCCCCCGTATGCCGCGGCCGCGCGGACCTTTGTGCGCGGCCGTAAAACAATTCTGGCGCATTTTTATTGGCGAAACATAGTCCCGCGCCGCGCCACGCCGGGAACCGGTCCCTCTATCTGGGAGACTATAACTCGCGCCCGTTGCGGTTCCGAGCGCGAAGAAGGACCGGGGGCTAAGAGGGTTAGCAAATGGAAAGGGGGCGCCTTCCGAGAGGGATGTTCAACCTCCCACCACCCCGTGCCCGGATGAACGGCAGAAAGAAACGACGGGAGGGAGGAAAAAAAGGAACGGACGGATAAAAAGTATTGGCGGAGGAAGGAAAAAGGGGCCAAGAACCGCTTAACAAACTGCTGAACTCACACCCCGTGGGATTTTATTTCTACTTAAATGGAGTTGCCGAGATACGCATTGGATACGGATTCTTACCGAATCCTCTCGCTCTCGGGTTTATTTGTACCCGTTTGTTAACCCTCTGTTCCAGCTATCGTCTCACTTTTGTTCCCGTTCTATCGGGACATTCGCGAAATCTTCTAGCGCACGCTGATGGAACCGGACCGTTTACGGTTGCCGTTGCAACTATATGGGATTATATTTGATATCAGCCACACCTCCTGTGTCGAGTTTACTCGAGGACTCGAAGTGGAACGAGGGAACTGAAATTTTTCGGTGGAATCTGCGAACCGGACGTTGAAAGATCGAGTCGCTTGTATATCGGTGATCGGCGGTAAGCTTGAGGTGGCTTGTTTTAATACTTTACCGACCGATAGCCTATTAATCGGCTTTTTATAACTGACGCTTAGTTTGAGAATCTTGAGTGACTGGGAACCGTGAGAAAAGCGTGTACGTGACTGTGTGAATTTTAACTATGAACGAAAGATGCGAGTGAGAAGGGTGCAAGGGTAAGAAAGACAGAGCGAATGGGGGTGTGCGTTTAAACCGAAACAGAGCCGGCGCCAGGGTGAATCTGTGACTGAGCGGCCGGTCGGTAAAGTGTTAACTCTTTTGGCTACGGCCAAGTTTGACACGGTATGCGTATCATGAATTGCAATTTGAGACAGTTAGAACTTTCCACTGTGCAATTGCGTTAGATTGAACTGCAATGTGTACAGCTATCGATGACGGAGATAGAATTGTGCCGTTGTAGTACCGTTTCAAATGATGATACACTGTAGTGATGTGGCGTATAGTAGCTAAGATGTTAACCCCTTGCATTAGAAACACGTGCCATATTGAGATGTTTTCGTTCTAAAATCGTTAATACGTCTTATATACATCGATAGTCTTGATGCATTACGTGTATTAGATTGTTCTGAAATGTATCAATATATAGAAAATGATTGACACGTTGAGTGCAGCGCGTGCCACGTATAGTATATGCTAATTTTTGTAAAAAACTATTTTTAAGAAACACGTGAACGGGTGGCTGATAATACACGTCACAAAGCAGCAGAAACGTGAAGAAACGATATGGAAATGTATAAAAGTCACCAGAAATATAATTGAATATAACTGAATATTTGATTTAAAAAATCAATAGCTTTGTTAGGCAAATGTGGCTGGAATTTACGGTGGCACGGAACGTGTTAATAAACGAAATTAGTGCACGTACCCGCGTGAAATAGGCAAACACGACACTCTTCGCGCAAGACTTTGCTAAATCTCTGAATTAATTGCCAGCGCAAGAGGTTAACGTTGACCTTCCTTGGCTTGCAGTAGCGTGTTGGGTTCGTGGCGAATATTTAGGAGGGGCTTTAGTAAATACAAATGTTGTTTAATTTATATATTGAATATTGTTACTCTGGTATCAGTTGTAGTCTTTTAACTTCCTTAAGTTTTTCATTTTCCAACGAATTATGAGTAATGAACTAATTCCGTGGAAGACAGTCGTGAGAGAAATCGAAGTGCAAGGGGTTAAATGTTTAGAATTTCGTTTCGTGGATGTGGAATGGTTTGACGATACGCGAGTAATGATATATCCATCTCGCGAACGTAGTGAGAACTCATCGCACGGTCTCTATGTTGTTTAGTCAGCGAGGATACGTTGAAAATCGATGTACATTAATTATATGAAAACTAAGTGACGAACGGCAATTAGCAGGTGTACCATAGGATCATTTCGTTTCGAGAATTACGCCGTATCGAGCGTCATAAGTATGAATGAACACTTAAAGAGTACCTCAGTTAATATTATACAACATAATAACTCAATTACACGCGAAAGAGTGTATCATACAATAAAAGGTTATCGCTCGATCTATCACATCAAGTCCGATTACACAACTTTAAAACGTCGCCAGAAGTGACAGTCCGAATAGTAAACTAATGAGAATGGAAATCCGCGGTTCGAGCAGATTACACAGTGTCTCCCAAAAATATGGAAGCTTATAAAATACGTACACATTAACCTTCCATAGACGTGAATTTTTAAAACTTTTAAATCCAATCGCCCGTTGCCTGAATAATTAAATCATTCACGTTCAATTTTGAACGTAAAAGCTCGAAACCATCATTACAGTGTCAATCAACCGCAAAAACGGTGAAAATTCAAACGCGACGATATTCTTCTCAGAACCAGCACGAAAATAACAAAATGACACCGTTCCAGTTTCACAGCAGAAAAGCAGTGCTTATACGCGACAATCTACGCGTATTAACCCTTTCGCTCCGAAGAACGTACATATACCTGCTCAAAAGGTGTATGATCGCCTACATAAATATACGGTGCCCAAATAGTTATCGTTCGCGTGAAAAGAGTACACTCTAACTTTAGTAAATTCTAATTCTTCTACACGAGAAATTCTGTTTTTTTTTTCATTTCTCAGCGTTTCGTGTATCATTATTTTACGTGTTATAATTACATCGCACAGATATTCTTTATTATAATGATACTGTTATTATTATCACAATTACAGCGTCATTGTTATTACACTCGTAGCGTTACTATTATTATAACCGTACCGTTGTTGTAACTACAATCGTAGTATCACCGTTGCTATCATTATTACGTATCATTACGCGTCCGGCAACATTCACCGCGTCGGATCGCTTTTTGCTGCGAGCACACCGGAGCGAAAGGGTTAATACGGCGACGGTAATCGCGGAACAGTTGCAGCGGCGCGTGGAAATGGGAGAAGCTCGAGCGTGGAGAACGCGTCTTACCTTGTACATGCCAAGGTTTTCGACGGTGCAGGTGAAAATGGCTTCGCGACCCACCGAGACCGTCAGGTTGTTCAACGGTTTGCCGAACCTGGGTAAATCTGCAACACGAAAGGCCCTTGACTTAAGTATCCCGTCTCGACGAACACTTTACATAACCGCGGTACACATACTCACCCTCTCGTTTACTTACTTATTGCTACTTATAGTTATAACCCCTCCAACCCGTCCCGCCCCGCCTCGCCCCGCCTCGCCCCGCGCGACCGGACAGCGTGCACGAGTTTGCGAAGTGCTTCAGAAACTCGTCTGTGAATGGGGCGAGTTAACGTAAGCGGGTCAAGCGAAGACTAAGCCTAACCCTCTTTATATTTTCAGGCGAAATCCTTACGGACCTCGGGCAACACGTTTCGATCATGTCCGAGGTCGGGGCGAGAATCGCCGCGCGTCCCGCGAGGACGAATGTGAAATTTCAACGAATCCACAGCGTATATTATACGAGTCGAATATGGAAAGGCAATCTTCAATCGTGTTGTTTTGAAATATTCGTTTCTAACTAGTTCACACTTGTGCAGTGTGAATTGGAGGAGAGATGGGCCAATGGTTTTAATCTTGATCCGGCATTAGGGTCTTTTCTGATCCGAATCGAGATCAATTTTGTGACTGACTTTTTTTAATGGAATTAATAGATTGTAGATGTCATTGGTACTTAATAAATATGAGTACATTTATGAAAATAAATACGGATAAAGAGAATAATTAACCGTTTGCGGACGAATGTCGGCATTTTGGGGTGATGAAATTTTTATATTTGGAATACTAAGTCGCAGACGAATGATTTAGTTAGTCAAACAGCAACAGAGCGGTAGGTAGTTTGCACTTCTACCGTTTAAGCAATCGATATATAATTTAACTTGATCTGCTGACGGTTTTGTATATTTCAAAGAATCTTCGTCTACAAAGAGTTAAATAAGCTTCCGTGCTGGACAGCGTTAAGAATAATTAAAGATATAAATATCTGACAATGTAAATGAGGAATTATTTTATTTTCTTACGCAGATGATTGGTTTGCCAATATTAATCTTTAATCATTTTTTCATTTGCACATATGCTCTAATTATATAACTTGTCTCGTGTTATTCCGATCGAAATGTGTATAATTATGAAATAATAATATAATAAACGTATATAACACATAGACAATTTATCAAATTATTTCTAATTTATTCTAGTTTAAACATCCACCGTTCTCCTTCATTACTAATTATACAACTTCGATATGCCAGGTATAATATGTAGTAATATCATTCGAAACAATGTGAGTCGTGGTGCTCGTTTATATCATTTACGGACTTATCCGTTTTCGAATGCAAATGGGTTAATTTACTGGAATCTTTGAATCTCTGATAAACTAGTTCTATATTCTTTTTAATCCTAAAAGGATTTATGCGGAGGAGGAATCGATTGTCTCTTATCTGAAGTGGCAATAGCTCAGTGAGAAACCCTACACGTAAATTCCGGTTTCAAGTAGTTGCTGTAATAGAACGTCAAGGAGACAGGTAACCAGTTACAAGATCCCATTCGATAGCATAACGAACCGGCGAGGCTAAATTCCTCCAATATTAGACTTAGCTTTCCTAAATCGTAACAAGTAACGACACCGCTGTTAAACCCGTAAACGGTAATTAGACGTTGATCGTCTTCTAAGGAAATATTGATCCTCGCACGAGCCAAGACACAATTTCAGACGCAGGCTGCTGCCTATAAACATTAATACCCGGAATCCTCTACAGCCTGCGGAGGTTTAATTCGTTTACATTTGCGATGAGCCGAACAATATCTACGTTCCAATATCGTTAACGTTAATTAAACGCTGTAATCGATTCACACACTCCGAAAGAATCGGCGCAAGTCCGACCCGCTAATGAACGCTGCGCAAAACTGTTGCTGGACGATTAAGTGCGTGTTTGCGGGGAGTGTCTTATTAACCGGCCGAGCGAATAATTCGTTTCCGAAGTTCATTTACAAATGGCTTTATAATATATGTTTGTAAAAACGATCTTTTGCCACTGGTGTCGCTGATTAATTTACTTTGTCAAATATTTTATTAGGATTTATAGATTTCAATGGAATACTGATTATTTGTGCTGAAAGAAATATCTTTTTTGTTTCAATATAATATTATTTAGAATGTTAGTTATTACATTGTTTCAGTATAATATTGGGAATAAATTATTTACGGTCTACGAAAAGAACTGAAGCTTCAAGAATTTTTCAATTGATTTAATATATCGCTTCTAGTTATAAATTATAGAACATAAGATATAATTTTATGAAAAATAACAGATAAAAACATAGTAGTATAACGTTTATATTACAAAAAAAATTTTTTTATGATTTTCCGATGCGCTTACGCAAGCAGAACCGAAATTCTTGGAAGCGAACGGTAGATTTTCAATGTTCGTGGTCTATAGTACTTTAGAAGAACTTCTTTAGTTTTCTAACAGTTTATCGCAGGCTTCCGTAGATCGAAATTGGTTTGAACGGGTTCAAGACAAAGACCTTTGGATTATCGTGGAAAATATTTGTTCAGAAGTTTTCGTTCGCCAATAGAATATTGGTCGTAGTTCAATGAGATTTATGGGAACCTTCAAGATTTTTAACCAACATCGCTCTTTATTCAGAACGAACGAATTTTATCATCGTTACGGAAACGATTGAAGTTAAAGATAATTAAAAATGTCCTGTCAGCGTGTGGGTTATTATAGCGGAAGAACGAGTGACACTTTTGTCTGTTGTAATTATAATAATTATATAACACGAGTGGGCGAATGTGTAATGCTATAAATGTAACGTTCATTAACAAATGATGCATCGAGAAAATTTTATTAAAGTCTAATTAATTATTTCGAAATTATGCATCACCTATTATCATCGAAACAAACTGCCCTTGTATCTTAATATGCAATAGTACTCGCTAGCGAATAAAATGATTAAATTTGGCATCTGTCAACTGAATTTGTTGTTATTAAACATTGCCGACGAGAACGCGCAATTTCTACAGGTGCAGGAAACAGGAGGCAAGTAGGTAAATTCACTTGTTACATTAATTTTCACCAACTCTCATTAAATTAATTTCACAAATCGAATCTGTTCGTCTCGTACATTCGGAAATCCCCTATTTGTTAAACAGTATCACCGTATTTTTGAACGAACGCACCGAATGAGGTTGATTAACGACCAACGTTAACTTCTCAAAAACTGAACGTTTTAAACGCGGTTTGCATTAAGTATTCGACCAACAATATCTTTGTAATCTCTAAAGCGTTTAAAAATTTATTTTCCTCTAATCGGCAGCTCACGAATAACGTACGTTTACGTTGCCGACATACAATGAAATAAAATTTCAAAAATTATCGTTATAAATGTATCTACACATTTTTCATTAATTAATAAAATTACTCTCATACATATTTAAAAATAAAGTTCCAAAAGTCATTATATTAAATAATTTGGTATATAATTTTATATTGAATAATTTGATCAATTAATAAAACATACATATATGTATATGTAATGATAATTTCTTAAATTCTACTATATTTTAAATAATTAATCAAATTGTTATTACACTTGTTCAATGTTTATTACATTTTTGATCGTCAATTATGGTCGATAACGCTTCTGTGTTCATCTGCTCAATAAGCAGCTCAAAGTTCATCGAAATCTGGCATACGTAATTACGAACATTTCCCGGCAGCTCATTGCACGCGGTTCCCATCCGTCTCGTTTTTATCGTTCCCAATGAAAACACGTTAATCGCGGCGTCTGTTACAGCATCCGTATCCGCATCGCGATTAGGATCAGCCAATTATCTCAGATTTGTGGATCGAGGACGCGTATGTAAAGCTCGCGCGTTCATTTGCTGGGCAACCTGTCACACACGCGATAATTGTACAATGAGAGCTGCAATACATTGTCAGCGAGTCTTACGCGCTCGGATGTTCCGACCTAAGCTGCTTCAGCTAATTAAATTACGTGTCAGTGGTTCGAGCGCATAATAATCCTGTATCCTGCATGTCGCATCCGTTACTACTCCATCGTTATACAATACAATACGTTCGAAGTGGTCTGTTAAACTACAAAAAGGCGGTGGAAGTATGAAAACATTAGCAGAGAGGGAGTAAGTGCATTTCGTCCAGAGTCTAAGTATCTAAGTGGCTTCATCAGTAAAATATTCTGGTATATCCCTGCCTTAGACGCTACGACGAGTGTTACGGCCCATACACACGCTGAAACTTGCATAGATAGATGCAGGCTCCGCTGCATGCTATGTGGGGTTTGAACATTTTTCACTTTTTGTTCGAGTACAACGTGTATCATGAAACTTCGGAAGACTCAAACCCATCGCTACAAATGATGGGTTTCAGCCTTTTCTCGCTTTTTGTTCGAGTGAAATATGTATCATGAAACTTCGGAAGACTCAAACCATCACTTGTAGCGATGCCTGCATCGCCGCAGGTTTCAACGTGTGTGGGACCTTTTACTTTTTTTTTCTTTTTAATTTGATTTCTCTTGTGTGGGGAATGCCTGTATCAGGGATATTTGGTCCCATTTACCAGGATTTTTCTAGGGAGTTATAGGGTGTTGTTGCGTCGTGAGTGCTAGGATGTGATTTTAGGTGGTTTCATGTGGTGTAATATCAGGGTAAAACTTTCAAAAAACCTGATGTCTTGAGAGGTGTAGGAGGTGTATTTGGGTAGGGGGTTTAAGGTGGTTTTCAGGTTATTAACTTTAGTGTCTTCATCTTGGGGCGGAGTGGGTATTCATCTTTTGTGTAGTTTCCTGTGTTCGCGATGAGTGGGTTAGTGTGGTTTGGATTGTATGCATGGGCAGCGTGTTCTTGTATGAATTGCCAGATTGTTGGGAGTTCGGCTATTTCGTGTAGGTCTTTGATTGTTGTGCAATGAGTTTTGTTCAGTATAATTCTGAGGAATTTGTTTTGTATGGTTTGTAGTTTTTTAATATGGAAGGGGTGAGCTGGGGCCCAGGCTTGGAATCCATAAGTGAGAATAGCGGGAACCTTTTAGAGATTTACGGGTGT